TCTGCAGAGGGGATGCACCCCCTCTTCGGTAGCCCGACGACCTGCACGCATAGTTGAGCACTTAACGGTAAAACAGTTTAACGAGGACCAATACCGCACACCCTCGGTCCCTACGCAGACTGATCCAAGTGGTCACCCACCCGCACACTGACCGTAGCCAGTGATGCTTGACTTCGGTGGTCTGCTGGGAACCGTGTCTTAATGATCAGTCCACTGCGGGACCTAAAGTTGTTGCAGTTTAAAACAAAGGCAAGGAAGGGGCTGGCAAAATATCTGGTTCACAAGATATTTCGGTCAAAAGAAAAATACTTAAAATCACCAGATTATATATTTTTTACATCGGCTTAAATTTTCTTCATCTTGTTCCTCAAAATAAATGCGGATCTAATAATTGTTATTGCTATGTCCACAAATGACATTAAAAAACGTCGTTAAAGTTTGAAAAAAAAATGAAGTATTATCTACATCAGGGCTGTCCAACTGCAAAGAGCCCACGGGCCAGAATTCCAGTCACTTATCACCTGGTGGGCAGCAGTTTGGAAAAGTTGAACAATAACCTCTTACCTCTTGCACAATAACAATTAATAGTTGAATTATTAATTACAAAACAATAGAACAGAAGGATTTTAAAACAATTTGCTTGCATTTTAAAGGGAAAATTGAGGCAGATCAGCCTGAATAAGAAGTTAGCGGGCCGCACAATATGTGTTGGCGGGCCGCCAGTTGGACAGCCCTGATCTACATCAAGTGTTTGGTTTCTAAACTGAGTGCTCAAGTGACACCCCTGCAAAGCTTGAAAATTTGTTCACCAAATGAGAAAATTGCGTTAAGATAGAACAATTTAAATGTAATTTTGGAGAACAATTATTAAAGGAGATAAAAAGTAAAATTGAATTAAAAACAATTTAGATAAATATAAGTACCGATTCAAATGCGTACGAACAGATACTCAATGAAAAAGAAGCACTCCTAGAGACGGTCTCAGTCTTTATGAGGGCCCGGATGGCCTGGTTCGTAAGGCCTTCAGCTCATATCTGAGAGGTCGTAAGTTCGATCCGCGCCGGCTGTAGACTCCCAAGTGTACGAAATGGTGACTGGTGAATGCTATATCTGTCGTGGTCACAAAGTTCCCATTACAAATCGATACCTCTGAGAGTACTGGATCGGAGATTGATCATGTTCTGGTTCAGGTCAAAATTGCGATCTGCGGATGGATGGATGATTTGTGAATGCGTCCTCCATGCAAAACGGAATGTGACGTATATATGTTGCTCCCGCATTATCATGTAGGATGTTTTCCAGACCGTCGCCAATAGCCCATTGTGCACCTCTAGTGCGACATAAATAAATGTACCAGGTCGTTACGAACTTTTTTTTATCTACCTTTAAGCTTATATTCTTATATTTTGTCTAGAAAAAGAGCTATCCTCGCCACAAAGTCTATGGCCGTCTACTGCTAAGGAAAAGAAAAAGATAAAAATATAGCGTTCTTCAAACAGGGGAGTTTGTCAATCAGGTGATTCCCTTTGTGTCGCCAACACGAGCCAAAACCTATCTGAAATATTGACCTTGTACCCCTACTTGTAATTGTTAAGCCTCGTAATCATCGAACTATTGTCAACACCATTGTTCCAGTCGAATGGGAGGGGAGTTCTTTCCATAGACAGATAATGGTTTTTCTGTATTTTTTAATTACGTTTGGAAACATAGCTCACCGGAGCGCATCTGCAAGCGTATTTCACGAATCGGATTCAAGTTTCATTCACCCAAAAAAACATTTTAATTTTTTTTTTTTTAATTTTTTACTTTTTTGGGGGGAAGCTCCAAGGTGAAGAATGGAGAGAATAATCACACCCTCATAGGGCAGAATTTACTTTACCCGTCGTGATGAATTTTAAGAATTCGTCGAAGAGAAGGTGACAATGATACCCTTTTCCTGTACCCTGAATTGAGAAAAATAATTGCTATTGTTCTAATGCTGAAAATAACTGCAACTGCACAATAAAGAAGTTTTGTACTTTAAGTTAGGATAATAAAATGAAAAAAACAGATCGAGATTTATTTGAAGGCCAGCATTGGAATGATCTTTCCAAACTGTATTATATGGGGCCGGTATAACCTGCTTGGTAGGGCACTCCCATGTCTAAGAGTTCGGGGTTGGATCCTCGCCGGCCGAAGACTCCTCGTATAGTAAATGGTGACTGATGCACACTAAATCTGTCGTCGCAAAGTCCTCCATGTTCCCATAACAAATCAATACCTCTGAGGGTATACTGATCTGGGAGTTTCTTTGTCTTCTAGAGTGGCTCAAAATTACAAGGCAGCGGAGTTGAACATTAGTAGTCGTAAACTCATAAAATTTAATCGGCTGTTCACCGACGGTTATATAAAAAAAAGCCCGTCTTGTATGGGCCGGGATAGCCTGGTTGGTAGGGCACTGGGCCCATGTCCAAGGGTCGGGAGTTCGATCCCCGCTGGCTGGTGACTGATGCACATTAAATTTGTTGAGTCACAAAGTCCTCTAGGTTCTCATAACAAATCAAACCTCTGGGGGTACTGATCCAGGAGTTTCCCTTTGTCTTCTGGATTGGTTCAAAATTACTATGCTACGGAGTTATACATTAGTAGTCGTAAACCCAAAATAGGGTTGGCTGTTCAACAACGGTTAAAAAAAAGCTTTGTTTAAGATTCTCTCCTCATGTCCCGAAAAAAGTTGAAAACCTGTAAAAAAGTCGATTAACCTGTAAAATTTTTGGGAAAAAAATGCATATAACTATTAGATTCAATGCATTTTAATATAATATTTTTAGAAAGTTTAATATGATTAATTTAAAGATGGTGTAAAAATCGGATTCCATATGAAATGTTTAGTGATTAAAGATTGAAACGCAGTGTCTGGAGTGTTTACTCTTTATAAATAATACATTAGTAAATTATTCCCTTAAAAATCAGTTTTATGGAGGATAAATTCTATAATTTCTCCATAACTTCTAAACCAGGGTGATAGTGTAGTCAGCTTCGTGCATCGGCAGCCTTTACTTCATAGACAGCGGGTACAAAACTAGGTTAACATTAAGCTGCTACCTGGAATTGAATTATTGCCCTTCACAATTAAAACTGAATTTCTATACCAATCAGCTACTGCAGTTAATATATTAGTTACAATATAATTTGTGGTATAAAATAACGGTAATTTACACATGTAATTTCTGGCTTGAAGATCACTGTGTTTTGTTTTCGAGATTATTCTAAAATTGTAATTTCGAGATTATTCTATATATTTGATTTCGATTTACCTCTAAAATGCTCATTGCCATTTTTTTTTCTAGTTCAGTTTAGTTTATTGAATGGGATCAATTAATGAAAACTCGTAAAACGACGGGGTAATATTTAACAACAATTGTCTCTTGAAAATTTTATATTCAAAAATACTTATTTGAGTAAATTTTATAGAAACTGAAATTAAAAGTGATATAACTGATGTAAAGGACTAGAATGGGTAATGATCAAAACATGTAACGAGTTGAAAACTATCTTAAATCATGACTGAAAGTATTTATTTATTTTTGAAAATAAATTCTTAAATTTTAACATTCTAGACGCGCTGTAAAATCTCTAAAAAAATATCAAGATCTGAAACGATGACTGTGTATGTTCAACTCCGTAGTCTTCTAATTTTGAATCCAACCTAGAAGAAAAAGGAGAGCCTGGATCAAGCATTTTGACAAACTACCTTTCATGAAGGATTTTTCAATGGAACCAACCTGCATTTGCGTTGCACGGTGAGAAAAACCACAAAAACCTCTTTTTGTTGTCCCGATGGCAAGGGGATTCTAACCGATGGGTCCGTTTGCCACTAATGATATCTTATCTTAAGTCAGAACGGTGGTAGGTGGGGGCCTAGAGTAGAATTCTAATCGATCAGCCACCACTAGGATTCGAACACCAGGATCATTTTATTAGGAAGCGAAAGCTCTATCCCCTGACTCATTAAGTCCCAACACGCGAAAATTCGATCATTATATAAAAGATTCCTAGGTCTTGTTTTATTTTATTATTTACTCATTATATTTGTTTTCTTGGTAAATATATGTGTTTGCTAATTTATGCTATTCACAAGTATACTTATTGATCATCGTGATGACTTATTCAAGTTTTCCATTATCACAAGTTGATATGGACATTGCCAGCGGATTTTATAAAAAATCAAAAAGTTTTGCTAACTAGCAAACGATATTTTATCGGATTAACGGTGTAATCTCGATAAAATCACAACGTTGCTCTTGGGATTGGTGAGCAGCAGAGATCAGGGGAAAGCATTAGTAAACTAATAATTAAGTACTTTCCGGATTTAAGAGCGTGTTTTCGAAATTTCACAGTTTTTATTTTTTAGTCCCATAACTTTCTGAAAAATTATTAGGGATACTTAAAACAAATTATAAAAATGATATTCATTACGGGCTGTGTCTTTGTATTGAAGGGGGGAAAATATCTCTCCTAAAAATTTCAAAATTACGATTGAGGGAAGAAAAAAAAATTGTGTTTTTCTATAAATAAATCGAAAACTCTTCCGTGGGACTTTTCTGTTCCTTTGGAATCTACTTTAACATCTAACAAGCAAAATTAATCATTTTTCATTTACAGGGTCAATTCATTCAGTTATAAAATCAGTGCTTAGTAATTAGTTTTTTTTCCCCTTGAATACAGAAAAAAAATATCTGAAAATGCAGTTTTTAGTTTAATAAAAATATTATTTTCACGTAATACTATTTGAAAAAAAAAAATCACATATTTCAAGAGATGAACGCATGTTTATTTGCCAACAAGATGCTAATGCGATAAACAACTTGAATACTAAGCAAAACGTATCTAGTTACATCAGAAAAATTTAATATCAGATTCGAATCAATGAATGTTATTCACGATTAATTAGAGAAAAAAAAATATTAAATCTCACCCTGTTTCCTTCTGTTAAGGTCAACCAGGTCCGATATCGTTCTTTTTGCTCACCTAATTTCATGCCACACCCTCATTTGCATATTCCTAATATCCTTAAGGGACAAAAACTTCTATCACCTTAAGATATTTTTGAATGTCCCACGCGCAAATGACCATGAAAATGAATATTTTTCTTGGTGTTTGACGAAGATGTCAAGTGAGATGCTTGGGATGGGATTTTTGGTATAAATAGGAGGCTTTAGGGCTCCTAAAATCATCCTCTGTCCTCCAGTTGCTATCACAACTTCAAATCCAACCAGCACCATGAGATTCGTAAGCATTCATTTTGATTACTTTTCATTCAACAATTTTTTTAATCATTTGCTATCGTTATTCACCCATAATAATGAACATTAATCAAACTCTCTTCGTTTTCTGCAAGCAAAATTCATGATTTTTCTAAAAAATCAGATTTATTTGATTTAAATAGATTTTTTAAAAATTTTATTTCTATTGGATTTTTTTTTTAAATATATTTACCAGTTAAATCATCTGATAAAACTAGAGTACTTAATATTAAATAAGAAACAGCTAAAATAATTTATATTTCCAATTAAAATGTTTAAAAAATTGTCATATAATTATTGAAAACTAATCACTGAATAAATGAAATCACCATTTTTGCTAAAGCAAAACATCTTAAAATTTTAGAAACAGGGAGGTAATTTATTAATATCAATTAGATATTCAACAAAGTTTTGATCAGAATACATACAAGGAAGAAAAAAATGTTGTAAGTTTCTCTGGGCAGTACAAGTCTTTCTATTCTTCAATATTGATAATCACTAACTACGTATTTATATATATATTTTAAAAGCGCTTAAATTATTTAAATAAACATAAAACTAAATGAGTATAACTGAACTATGTTTGTTACCAGCAAATTATTTTACATATTGGCTAATGGAAAATTATAATTTATCAGCTTAACGTTACTCTTGTCCACTTTTAGTCTCCAATTTTATTTATTTATTAGTCTATTTTGAAATAAAATAATTTAATTATTATTTTTTTGGATAAAATCTTCATTATTAATGGAAGCAGACTTAAAAAGAATCACACCCTAAAAAGACTATAGTTACAAAAATATTTCCCGCTTAAATTATTCTTTTAAAGAAAAAAATATTAAGTTTAAATCAATGCTTTTCTTTAAGAAATCAAGTGTTTTAAATCGCGATTTTAATTATGATTTTTATCAAGTGATTTAAATCATGCCAACCATGTTTGCAAAAAAATGAGCTTTCTAACTTTAAACAAATCATGCATAGGATAATTTATATTCTGAAAAAAAAGTCTTGATGCTTTTTTATTGAATTTAAAATATGAAATGTTCTAAAAATTATTTTTCGAGAAAAGAGTACAACTCTTTAAAAAAATGGCTATGAAAATGAAAAAATTTCATAATCGTATATCATTAATAATTTTAAATTTTTGTTTTCAAATAAAGTGTTCTTCATCATGATATCTCTCGTTTGTTTTTTTTATTTTTATTTTTTTTATAATGATATGTTAAAGGCCTTTGCCTTCGGCTTGCTTTGCTCACCAATCCCCCACGAACTCATTTTTGTTTATTAATGGTAAGCAGTTTGCTACATGAAAAATCATTCAATTAAAATATTCTAACATTTTTCATTCACTAAAACAAAATGACATTCCGTTTCTATCGGAATAAAATTGAATCCTAATAATTTTGATCGGTTACCATTGTAACCACATCGAAAAAAAAATTTTTTTTTTTTTTTTAATTTTTTGGGTATTATAAAAACTTGAACGCCAAATATTTTCCCCAAAGAGATAATTTAGCAAAAGTGTATTCTTTATATTGCTTCAGAATTCTTATTAGTCATTTTGCATTCGCCATTTTAATTGCATACGTTGATCGAAACAGTTAGATATAAAGTGAATTTTTCTTGATCTTACTTATATCTTATTTATACTCATCTTATATCATATTTATGTCTCTTTTATCTTATTTATTGATTAATAATTTTTAAAACGATAACTAAATATCTTTATCATTAAATATTATATTAATACAGCTAATATAAGATTACTTTGCGACTTTTCAGTTCAATTAAAATAAGTAAAGCGATAAGGCGACAATTTATTTTAATGATGTGTAAAGAAATAAACCCTTCTTTAAAATGAAAGTTTCTCAAATTCGAGAAAAACGCATTTAAAGTTTTTCAAGCGAATATTTTCGAATCATTGGTAATGTTTTACAAATATAAGTTTAAGTGGTTTTGGAGGTAGCCAACAATAAAACTAATACGAAATGCTAATTCAATATGACGCTCAAATACTATATTTCCTTTCTACTCTAATCTAATGAGTGAAACAAAAACATATAGGTATAATACTATTAAAAAAAAATAATAATTTAGAATCTATTTATGGAACCATTAAAGTTTTGCACTTCAAAAAAAAATTTCGCATTTATTGTTTCGCTCGGATATTCTAAAACTAAGCAGAAAAACTAAATTAAAGGCGAAATTTGAATTCCATTTATTATTTTTTGTTTCAACAGATCATTGCTTCATTGTTGCTTGTCTCTGTGGCTATGGATGCCGATATGGGCATGAACATTACTGGATATTCTAAAACTAAGCAGAAAAACTAAATTAAAGGCGAAATTTGAATTCCATTTATTCTTTTTTGTTTCAACAGATCATTGCTTCATTGTTGCTTGCCTCTGTGGCTATGGCTGCCGATATGGGCATGAGCATTGCTGGATATTCTAAAACTAATTTTCTAAACAAAGCAGAAAAACTAAATTAAAGGCGAAATTTGAATTTCATTTATTCTTCTTTTGTTTCCAACAGATCATTGCTTCACTGTTGCTTGCCTCTGTGGCTATGGCTGCCGATATGGGCATGAACATTGCTGGCGGTGCTTATAACTTCGGATACAACACTGGAGATGCTGGCGGACACAGCAGATCTGAATCGGGAAGTGCTGGAAACGTTGCTGGCAGCTACAGCTACATAGATGCGAACGGCGACAGACGGGTTGTTTCATATTCTGCTGGACCACAGGGCTACCAGGCATCCGGTGACATCGGTGTTGACAGGAAAACTGCTGCAGCTGCTGCCGCCCTTGCAGCAATGGCACCAAAGGCTCCAATTGCACCAGCTCCAGCAGCACCTGGACATTACGGCGCTCCATGGGCAGCTCCTGCCCCAATGTGGGCCCCAGCTCCTCAAGCCATCATGGGACCAAGTGGATATCAAGCTAAATGGTGATTGCTCAGTGGATCTTAGTCATTGCTAACTTACCAATTGGACTTTGGATTACAATTTATGATTTCTGGTTGCGGTTGGGATATCAAATTGTGGATTATGAAGGACTTCTATTTGAAAAATTTTCAACAGCTTTATTGTAAATTATTAGGAAATAAATTAATTGCAATCTTGACTCTTCAGTTATTTTTTTTTATCAAAAATTGTTATAAAATAATTAAATCATTTTGAAAAATGATCTAGAGGATGATTTTTAAAGATTTACACATAGTATTCAATTGAAATTTTAATAAAATAAAAAACTGTTAGAAGTTTTTATCAGTGCAACTTAGGCACCAAGTTATAACTTGAGTTTTAGAAATTTTGCAATTCAGTCAATTGCAAACATTTTGAGGGTAGGAAGATTTTTCGGATTCTTGCACACTATATACTTATAATTTAAAAATCACTCGGATTCATATCTGGTAGAAAGAAAAAAAAAAGTGTCCAACGTAACGTGATTTTGTGTGGTAGGGTAACAAATGTTATATATTTCACGTTTTTAGCTGATGCAAAAGAAAAAAAAATCTAAATATTTTCCCAGACGAAATATGCTGAAAATAAACTTAACTAATCGGTTTTTATTTCTTGCTCAAGGTCTTAGAGCAGATATTGAATCGGTAAAATATTTTTTTAAATCTTTTGAATTAACGTAATAAATATAAATCATTAAAAAAATCTTTGATGTGATATAAAAAAAATCTATAACAATGAGCAATTACTTCTCTTCATCAGTTTGAACCTTATTTTCAAGTTTCTGGTTCTAAGAAGACAATGCTAGGGCACCAATCTTCCAAAACTGTTTTAAATGATTAACAGGTGACAAAATCCAAAAGGTTAAAATATTTATTTTAAATGATATAGGTAAATTGTGGATAGAGGATGAAAAGAAACCTTAAAACATAACATACAAACAATATATGTGATTCTTCTATTATTTGCATCAAAGCTTAACTTATAATGAACTCTTAATGTGCTGATATTACCAATTGCTAATATGACTAAAAACCAATGGACAACTAGTTAGCTTTTCATTTTGCTATGTTAACTGAGTTTGAAGCCAAAACATAAATATCTGCCCCATCTGTTAATATAAAAATGCTGGTTACGAAGAGGTTACTCCCTTCCTCAAACATTAACAAAGCAGAACTCCTTGAGGAATGAAATCGGAATATATTATTCTATTTGTATGAAATTAGGTAATATTCTTAATCAAAACTCACTGCTTTTTTTTAATCTAGACCTATCACGAAACTGTCATCGCCATCTAATAGCGAACACAGATGACTTTTAACCTAAATTTTCTTTTCATTATAGTAGTTATTGCAGCCTTTGCCCTACTCGAAATAATTTTCGATTTGAATTTGTTTAAAGCTGATTTGCTTTTAGAAAAAGATCATGAGTACATGTTTTGAATAAATGCAAGGGTGCCACTCAAGAAAAATTTTAAGGCTGAACTTATTTTTTTGACCAATTAACAGGTTCTAGTGCGATTTAAAAATTTTTTTCAGTAATTTATAGTTTATTTTCCACGAGTCCCGCAGTGGACTGATCGTTAAGACACAGTCCCTATCTGATCACCTAAGACAAGCATCACTGCCTGCGGTATTGGTCCTCGTTAAACTGTTCTACCGTAAAGTGCTCGACTTCATGTGCAGGTCGTCGGGCTATCGAAGCAAGGGTGCCATCCCCACTGCAGAGGATCAAAATTGAGATGGCGTCCTTGGATCATCCTCAAGGATGTTTCCCAGACCCTTGCCAATAGCCCATCGTGCAGCTCTAGTGTGACGTAAAAGAACTACAACAGTTTACTTTCCATGAGAATGGTCCAGATATTAAACCACTGATTATTTTCCCTAAGAACATATTTCCCATTTTCTTAGATTTTTACAGCAAAAAAAAAGAAGCTAACCTTGCATTTTTATTGCACCACTTGCTGAATTACACCACTAACATTTCTTGGAGTAATTTATGCATTGACTTATTTTTCATTTCATTATTAATACTTAGACCAAAATCTACATATTTAAAAAAAATAATCTTAATTTAACTTCGTGTTTTTTCTGAAATATTTTAAAATACTTACCCATTCTTTCATTGTGATGTAACATTACACGTAAAATCAAAGTATGAAATCGATTTAAACAAATTTAATTTTTACATTACGGGGACTCCAGTGCGTCCCCTGATGAAGTGTTGTGTTTGTTCTAAAGATTGTCATACTATCTTTAGAATTTTTTTTATTTAAATTGTAACATCACATGACCATTTCGCAATAATTACAAAAAACTATGTTTTCATAAAAGTATAAATTATTTTTTAAATATTTATTTTAACATATACAATTTTCATATACTTTTAAAGGAAAAATTAATACGTAAATGATAATTCAATTTGGAAAACAGATATTTATTAGAGGTTGGAAAATCAGTCTACTGACTTTTGCTCAAGACTAATTTCAGTCCTCAGGACTGAAGAGCGGCATCTATGATGTTATACCTTCGCTTAAAATTAATTAATATTTCTAATATTTAACAATCTATGTAAACATAGCTGAAATGGTTTAGATAATGCAACAATAATTGCTTTTAAAAATAAGTTTATCAATATATAATGAAATATTTCATTCAGAAGAAAATGAATCAAAATATCTTTCTGCTTAGGGGGCAGTCACTAATATTTTCTTTTCATTAAACACATTTGCTAAAAATAAATAGGATGCGTCTTCTTTGCCAAATTAATTTGAAATTTGTTTAGAATACTAAATTACCACGATATTATGCATAGTGAGCAGTGGCTTTGTGGTTGAGGCACTGAACTGACAATGAAGTTGGTTGAAGCCAGCCCAGCTTTCGATCAACGGGTACTAGTTAACCTGGGAAATGAAGGCGGCTCGTACACAATTTTGACCACATTGCAACAATCACGTAAAAATTGTGGAGCCTTTATCCTCCTGGCCAACAACAGGATGCAGGGGGAATGTTCTACTTTTTTACTATATAAATATGCAAAATAAATCAATAATCGACATTAAACTCGAAGTATTAATTATTAGGAAATTACATTATTATTAACAGAAAGCCAATCAGTTAAAATAAAATTTGACCACTTTAGGTAATAACTTTATTTTATTTAAATAGGATTTTAAGAAAGCAAAAAGGAAAAAAATTGTATCCAATTTTATGATAGTAAAAAAGTAAAAGATTAAAGTAATTAAATACAAGAAAACGAAAAATAATGGTGATAAAAAATTTATTTACAGAGAATGATTTATGACAGACATTATTCAGAACTTTTTACTGTAAATGAAGAATTAGTTTTCATCAAGTCATTAAATTGCTTTTTCAGTGCGTCCTTAGATAAATTGCAACTGTCACCTACAGTAGCCTTGTACTCAGATATCACCTGTTAAAAAAAAAAGATAAAATTAAAGACAAAAGAAAGATTCAGAAAAAATGTGTAAAAAAATCTAAAATTTAAAAAAAAAAAAAGAAAAAAAGGCATGATTGATTTTTGCATTTGTCAATCTCTATTTGCCAAATTTTAAGAGCAATAAAAATTAATAATAAAAAAAAAGTTTTGAAAATTTTCCTCTTTATTACTTAGGCTTCACTTTAGAAACACTTATTATTTTAGCTCACTAGGAACTATAATTGAATTAATTATAACAGTGTAATAAAATTATAATAGCGTATCAGTATGTATAATACCTGCTTACAAAATATCAACTGGGGTGAAAGTTGCTATAAGCGGTGACTAAAATTTACAAAATAAAATAAATTAAATGTAGATCTTTTTACTTAATAAAAACCAAAATCTGATTTAATTCCCCTGGTTATACACACAGTGCACAGAATGGTAACTCAGGTAGCTAAAAGGCTATATGATACGAGACAACCTAGTTGAAAGCAACTAGCGGTTTCGGTGAAGTTGAAACATGTCATATGATGGTTGCCCGGATGCTTTCAACTAGCAACTGAAGTTAAAACCTTTCAACTTTAGTGGAACAACCAGATTAGTTGAAACGTGTCATATAGTAGTTTCCAAATACTTTCAACCTTAACTAGCAACCACTTAGTAAACAAAATACACGTGCTAATTCTGACGCATCCTGAATTTTTATCCTTTAAATTTAAACTTCGTTTAATTTTTTTTAACTATGACTATTTTAAATGGAATTCTAGTATATGTAATTTTTTTTTTGTTGAAATTTTTCAAACATATCCTTGTCTTTGGGACATAAATAACAAAGATTATGCTAATATACTAATTCCCTAACAACTAATTTCCTCTGTGGAGATATTAAAAGTTACAAATTATTATTGAATTTTAAAAGTGAATGAAAAAAAAAACTAGAATTTTACTAATTACAAATGTTTAAATATTTGAAAATTCAAAATTATATAGCTTGAACGCTAAGCTTTTTAAACTCATTTTGACAGATTTTGATAGATATTTCTTTGACAGATATTTCCGAGTACTAATGAAATTTTGAAAGCAAACGAAAGAAATTATTTTGCTTTTCAATCACCTTTTTTCTGTTCTAGTTCTTCTTTCAGAGCCTCAGATATCAGCTCAACGCCTACTTGAAGTACATCGTCANTTTTTTTTTTTTTGAAATTTTTCAAACATATCCTTGTCTTTGGGACATAAATAACAAAGATTATGCGAATATACTAATTCCCTAACAACTAATTTCCTCTGTGGAGATATTAATTAAAAGTTAAATTATTGAATTTTAAAAGTGAATGAAAAAAAACTAGAATTTTACTAATTACAAATGTTTAAATATTTGAAAATTCAAAATTATATAGCTCGAACGCTAAGCTTTTTAAACTCATTCTGACAGATTTTGATAGATATTTCTTTGACAGATATTTCCGAGTACTAATGAAATTTTGAAAGCAAATGAAAGAAATCATTTTGCTTTTCAATCACCTTTTTTCTGTTCTAGTTCTTCTTTCAGAACCTCAGACATCAGCTCAACGCCTACTTCAAGTACATCGTCAATAATCACTTTTATGATAATTAAAAAGAGCTTTTAGCAATAAACTTGTTGTAACGTGTGACCACAAACGAGAAGCCAAAAACCGGTTTCTTAACTAGTTGCCTCCACTTGGTTGCCTAGTGTCATCAGCACTTAAGGAATACAGATTTCTTCAAAGGCAAGTTAAAAACAATTTTATAATTATTCATCACTATTTAACTTTCTTTGTTTAGATTTCAGAATAATTTACTGGAATCGAACAGAAGCTGAAAACTTTCATCCCTCCTCAATAAATCTTTTAAGTGTCACGAATTTTCTGCAAACTTGAGGTGTTTCTTAATTCACAGATACACAGGGTTTCAACTAAAATCAAACAGATCTCTAAGGCAGCACAGAGGATGCGAGAGTTCAAAGAGATAATTTACTGATATTTGTTTGCAATAATGAATTGATACTCTTACCTGCTTTCTGAGCTTTTTCTTTGCTATTCCCCCTGGAAAGCTTTCCAAGACTTTTTCACAAGCTTTGCTCAAGTCAAAATTTTTATTCTTGGGTGTACCTAGAAAACAATTACGAGATTTCGATTAGTATGCATAAAAAAAAAAAAAACATTTTCATCCCCAGTCCTCCCTTTATGTTTTTTTAAACTCATTCTTAATTTTGGCTGCTATGCTTAAATACAGTGAAACGTTGGTTAAACAAACACCCTTGGGAACGAAAAAATTGGTAGTATTTGAGAGGTATGTCATAGAAAGCCCAGAAAATTTTGTGCCACAGTGGTGGGTGGGACAGAGGGACTGCAGGGTTACATAATGTACTGCCCGGAATAAAAGATGCCGCTGTCTGAAATATTTCACATGAGCAGTATCATCTTCTGTCCTTTATTTACAACTGAGTGCATCGCCAAATCATTCAACAACAAAAATAAGTACCTTTTAAAACAACAAAAATAAGTACCTTTTAAGTACTAAAAAAATTGTTACAAGCAAAAATATCATAATTAGGGAGGGTTGGAAAGTCTCTGACAATTGACAGTTTTGTCTTGTTTTAACCGTCATGTCAAAAAAAAAAAAAACTTTTGGCAATGGTCAAAAATTATGAAATTTTGAATCAGGTAAAATTAATGGCGTTTTCATACGCTATGGACCGACAACGCCGATATAGATTGGGGTTGAATTAATTGTGAAAACGCCGAATAGAACAAAGTAAACTGTATCTTTTAGCATAATTCGAAGGGAGAATCAATACAATAAAGGAAAAACCTCATTTTGAAAAAGGGTAAATTAAGCACTTTTAAAAAAAGGCTCTGTACAAAGATAAAGGTAAAAGGAGAATGATTGATTCTTTAGTAGTAAAAGAGCGTTACAATATTTTCAGTGGCAGAAAAGCCAAAATATTAACAAAAAATTTTTTCTAAGAATTTAAAGCATAAATAATTTTTTTCTTGGTACCTGGGCAAAAAGAGAGAGAAAATAGTGTCTCAGGGCATAAATGACTGTCTGTGCCCAGGTACGGGAATTGTTCGCTTTGTGGAGAAAGCACAAAAGTACTCAATTTTAGGGAATTTTTTAAGATGTACAAAAAACCAGGAGAATTTTTCTTAAACCAGTAGACCAGGCAGCAATGAGCTCAAATTTATTGCAAATCAATCACATGAGAGAGCATTTAAGCAGGGGGTGCAAAATGTGTTCAATCGTGCAAAGGAGGTTTGGAGAGGGAGAAGCTTGGTAGCTTAGGAAAATAATTGCCAAATTCTTAATCACTATAAAATTTTAATAGTAAGAAAAAAACGGTTGCTTCATAAAATAAGACATAAGAGAAATGGAAAGAGTCAACATTTAAATATTAAAATATATATTCTTAAAATTTATTTTAACATATCTTTTAATTTCTCATACAATATCAACTAATCGCCTAGAAAGAAACAGAATATACAATAATGTGAAATATAAAATGAATAATTAATACGCCAATTTTGATTATCTATTAGTTTAATTTCCTATTTCAATTTTCACTGTTAAAGAAAAAAAATTTAATATACTAACTTTACCTTCTAAAAATATTCTGAAAAAATTACAGTAACTAAAAAAAAAAAGCAGAAGAAATTTGAAAGAAAAAACTGCATTCTGTAGAGGTCTGAACTTCAGAACCTCTGCATTTAAAGTCATTCAAGTTTAAGATATAAATTAAGGCATTAACACACAAATTTAAATGATCAAAAAATACTGAATTGTATTTTGGTGATATTTAAAATTTAATCAACATAATAGTAAAATGAATGACAACTTGAAAAGGAATTTGAAGGAGTTAAATAAAATTAGAAAGTCTTAAAATGTAAGGATTTTCAGGAACCTCAGAAAACACTTTAAATTCAAGACATTATTACAGTAGCAGAAAATACTCATGTATGAAATTATCTGAATAAAGAGTTCCTTTATAGAATTGTAGTATGGTTATTTTAGTGAAATAAAAAAACTTAGAACATTAGTTACAATCGACAATTACAGCATCTGTTAAATTTTTTTTACTTTCAATCCCATCTTATTGGAAATTCTCTCCTGAGACCGAGAACCTGATTTTTTTTCTTTTTGATTGCCAAATGTTCATTTATTTAGCTATGAAACATTTAAATTGCCCAAAAAGGCCTCTGTTAGTGATGCAATTAAAAATGATCACTGATTGGTCTCACTGCTCCAGATGATCCTCGTCCACCTTGTCTCTTTTGAGGACAGTCCCTGGATAGATGGCCCTCCTCATTGCAGGTAACTGATCATCTGAAATAGTAACTATGATCATCTAATGGTAACTATGATCAATGGTAATAATGGTAACTATGATCATCTAAAATAGTTAGATTTAATTAGGAAAATTCAAATGAAAACAAGAACATATTGACTTCCATAGCACAGTGATTGTAAATGAGCGGCAGGTGGACACAGTTTGAGACCAATAAAGTGACTTCCCGTTTCAGATGAAAATGAAAGTTTTTGCATACAAATTAATTAATAAATAACATTTTTTGGAAAGTAATTCAATTAATCCAAGGAGTTGAGAGGGATTTTTAATGCATTAAGATTTGAAATAAAATAGACTGTAATTGTCCATTATTTATAATTGATTCTAATACAAAAGTTATAAAAGAAATACTTCAAATTAAATACCATTTTCTCTGTTTGTATCTTTTCCATTTTCCTTAGTCTGATGACTTTCGTCATCAAATTTAAAACTTTTTCTAGAACTATTATTAGGACAGTTTCTAGATTGATGGCCTTCTTCATTGCACTTAAAACAAGCTCCAGATGAAGCCCTGCCACCTTGTTTCTTTTGTGGGCAGTTTCTGGATTGATGGCCTTCTTCATTGCAGTTAAAACAAGCTCCAGATGATGCTCTGCCACCTTGTCTCTTCTGAGGACAGTCTCTGGATAAATGGCCTTCTTCATTGCAATTATAGCAGGCTCCAGATGGTGCTCTGCCACCCTGTCTCTTCTGAGGACAGTCTCTGGATAGATGGCCTTCTTCATTGCAGTTATAGCAGGCTCCAGATGATGCTCTGCCACCCTGTCTCTTCTGAGGACAGTCTCTGGATAGATGGCCTTCTTCATTGCAGTTATAGCAGGCTCCAGATGATGCTCTACCACCTTGTCTCTTTTGAGGACAGTCTCTGGATAGATGGCCCTCTTCATTGCAGTTATAGCAGGCTCCAGATGGCGCTCGTCCACCTTGCCTCTTTTGAGGACAGTCTCTGGATAAATGGCCTTCTTCATTGCAGTTATAGCAGGCTCCAGATGGTGCTCGTCCACCTTGCCTCTTTTGTGGACAATCCCTGGATAAATGGCCTTCCTCATTGCAGTTATAGCAGGCTCCAGATGATCCTCGTCCACCTTGTCTCTTTTGAGGACAGTCCCTGGATAGATGGCCCTCCTCATTGCAGTTATAGCAGGCTCCAGATGATGCTCGCCCACCTTGTCTTTTTTGCGGACAGTCCCTGGATTGGTGACCTTCCTCATTGCAGTTGTAGCAGGCTCCAGACGATGCTCGTCCACCTTGTCTCTTTTGTGGACAGTTTCTGGATTGATGGCCTTCTTCATTACAATTGAAACAGGCTCCAGATCCCCTGCTATCTTGTTTCTTTTTAGGGCAATTCCTTGATTGATGACCTTCTTCATTACAGTTAAAACAAGCTCCAGAGCCCCCTCCCCCACTTTCAGTACATTCTCTTGATAAGTGACCTTCTTGCCCACATTTAAAACAGCTTTTTCCTCCACTACCTTGATTACCACTAGTCTCACCGGGACAATCTCTGGCCATGTGACCACTTTCATTGCACTTGTGACATTTTCCTTTTCCACCTTTAAGGTTATCTTGAGACAAACTGTCCTTAGCATCAGTTTCTTCCTCTTCCATGTCCTCACTATCACTTTCTTCATCCATTTCATCATCTTCTTCATTTTCTTTGTCATCATTCCCATTTTCTTCTACTTTTTCACTACCATTCTCATTTTCTTCCATATCTTCACTATCACTCTCACTTTCTTCATCATCATCACTTTCTAAAGATAAAAAAAATAAAATTATAATCGATTCAAATCACATTAAAACAATAGAATATTTATTAGGTCTATAATAACAATAGCGTGACATTTTCTTTCAATTCTTTTATTCCAAACCCATGAAATTAAAAATCACACAATAGATTGAAATTCTGATTTGATAAAATTGTTTTCCTTTTTCAGCTTTAAACAGTAGTACTTGTGGTAACAGTCATTTCTTTTCCTCCTACTGACTTTGCACCATTTTACATTGATCTTATCAAAATAATGAAAAATTCTGAAATGCATTCAAACTGTAAAACAAAACTGAGCCTGAATTAAAATATTACTTTTACACAAATTCAATTCTGTGCACTTTGTTCAAAGCAGTCACTTATATTGCACAGACATTTTCAGCAAAAATTAAAGAAGATACAATTAAGGATAAACTATACAAACTCAACTGGAAAATTGCTAGCCTGGGAAAAAGAAGAGTATTAAAGGTTATTCAATACACTCAGTAAGAAAAAAAGAAAAATTAGCAGGAGATATGTGACCAATAGCACAAGAGTTGACAGGTCTAAAACATGGAGAAAAATATAACAATTTCAAATATAAGACTACCTTGATCAGGACACTTCTTCTTATTAGAACTCTTATCTTTAACAAGAGGTTCTTCTGCAGGACGTTTTCCTTGAGCTTTATTTCCATTAGTTATTTCAGACTTATCAGCTGTTTCAGTCTAAAAAAGAGAAGATATAAACAACATTGATAAACAGATATCAGAATTAAATATTAGATATTAAATAAATGATCAGATATTAGAATTAAAAATAGAATACACCTTAATAATTTACAATAATACTAATATTGTTAGCATGATTAGCCATTTTATATACTAATTTGGGTACGTAAATGAGAGTTAACTACTTTAAGAATGTGTTATAATTCTATTTTATGATGTGTAGCCACAGATGGCTCTTTTGACATTCACTAAGCTATATATTCAGTTTATTTAAAACCATTAAAATTATGAAATCTGAGATAAGGATACTATTTTGACGAAAATGAAATTAGCAGTCTTAAATACAATTTGTAAATAAGAGTAATAACTGAAAATATAAATTAAGTCAAATTTAGTTTTATGTATTACTTGCACTTTAGTTATTATTTTCCTTTTTAATTTCACTGAGTGGAAATTTGTTAGACATCATTTGAACATTTTTTTTTTAAAAACTCGCATTAGTATAAGAGTCATTTATTAGAGTAATAATGAGCAAATTATTGAATGAAATCAAGAAAGAAAAAAAGAAACAAAATGTTCACTTACTTGATTACTTTGATCAAATATACCCCAGGCTTCAGAAATCAGTTTCTGATTTTTCACCTTTAAACTATTTTCAACAAATTTCTGGAATAAAACTAAATATTAGTCATTCATAAATATGAATATACACATCAACATTGACACCAAATTACGCAAAAAAGTTATATCATTTTAGGGACAAGAGAAAACTGCGAAAACAAATGCAAAACAACATTTATAAGGCTATAAAGAATTTTTTCCCTCACAATTATGAAAACATTTTGATGCTTGTTTCCAAGCACTACCACCTTAAAGAGACACTATACTAAAAGAAAAACTTTTCCAGACAAATTCTGATTCATCTCCATTGGTATTTTAAAATTTAATGTATAAAAAGCGAGTTCAAATAAATTTAAAGTAAACCTTGAAGTTTCACATGCATATTATCTTTCTTTAAATATCTAAATACAATCAAATTATGACAGAATTACTTTACTACACAAACATAATTAGTTTTTAAAAAAAACTTATAGCAAAGTTGGAGTTGAAAGTTCTGGTAAAAAGTGGAGGGGAAAAAACATGTAAAAATAGAAAGAAATTAAGTTGGTTCAATCAGTAATGACTTAACTTCAAACTTTTTATAAGCTAAACAAGTAATGAAATCTTCAAGAAATTTCATTTCAAGACTTCTAATATACTAGAAAAAGAAATGAACTGAAACTATTATTGAATAAATATTTTTCTTTTTGTATGTACATAGAGGATGAATAAAACTCATTTTTGAGCATAAAAGTGACATTAAATGAAAGAAAAGAAGAAAGAAAAAAAAAAGATTTTAAGTTTGTGAAATCTACAGCAATAACTGATAAAGAAAATTGATGATTAGACCATGTGCATTTATGGAAAAAAAAAATCACAAATTGAATGTGTTAAAATTGGATTTTAAAAAATTATGCGAAAATCATCAGCAATAAGAAAAAAAAAAAGGAAATATCAGGACTTAAAACACAATGACGATATGAGTAGCAATAACTCAGGGGAACGCTATAACCACGCAATAAAATATTAATAAATTCAAAATAAATCTAGCATGCCATCAATCATAATAGAACTTTAAAAACCACAAGAAAATCATTGCTTGATTTAAAAAAGAAAAGATCATAACACAGATTTACAAAGGTATCGAGTACATCGAAATTTCATAAGATAATCATAAAATTCAATCACAATCGTAATATAAAAAAATTCTGTCTAATTGTAGTGAGGAAAAAAAAGGGCAAAAATTAAAGCAGTGTTGTTAAAGGTGCTATAAATGTCTTGTTAACAAGGTTATTTTAGATTAGCAGAACGCCAAGAAAATTTTGTCAGAATATAAATTATCACCTAGGTCCGCAAATTAATATTTTAAATCGGCCACTTCACAATGACATTTAAATGATAAACCATATATTTGCCTCTGTCATTCATTAACTTTAGCCGCAGTTATTATTGAATCATTATATCTCTCTCCTTTCCTCCACTCTTTTTATTGTGCTGGTAAAGTGCAGAATAAACGTCGCACCATTTTTTTTTTTGCTCACTTCACATAATTAAAATCGAAGCTTAGAGGAACTCTGAGAAAATTTTACTGGAATATGAACTATCGATAAAAGCCCTGAATCAAAGACTTGAGATTCACTGATAAGCAGAAGAATCACGTGCCTACTCTTAGTTTTGAAATCCAATCCTTCAAAAGAATGGGCATTGGAATGCTATAGCACATTCCCTCACCAAGCTCTTTATATAAAAACAAATGGTATTATTTAATTAAAAGTTAAATAAATAAACAATAAGTACCTGGAATTTTGACTGCTTTCTGGGAATGTTAGGAAATTCTATGACTTTTTGTAACAATTCTGACAAGGGTCCAGATAAATCCTTTGTTGCTATTGTGTTCTTTATGTACTAAAACAAGATTGATAATTAGTTTTTCATTGCATATTTTTAAATAAAATCTTTAAACAAGCAATGAATTTTTTTTCAATTCTACAACTGGTTGGCCACTTTTTGGACAATACTTAACTTCTTGAGATTATAAATTAGCACAATTATTTATTACTGATCCTCATTTTCAAAGTTTAACGTTAATTTACAAAACAAAGAAAGATACATTAAATAAAAATTATCATTAACTATTACAAGCTTAATATAAACATGATTTTCAAAAATAAAATATAAGTCTTAATGCTTTTTCATTGTAGCTGTAGTTCATTTACGCCACACTAAATCTGCACAACAAACTTTTTGTTGGAAACATCACTGAGGATGATCCAAAGACAAACCATCACAATTTTGATCCTCTGCAGAGGGAATGGCACCCCCGCTTCAGTAGTGTTGAGGATTAATGATAACAGATGGCGCTGAGCGCAAACAATTTTCTTATTATTTTTTTCTTCACTTCTTAAGTTTCAGTTTGGATTTAACCACTGAACCACAATGAAATAAAATCCTTTTTGTTATTACAATTTGTGTAATTATTGTCGAATTATGGTGGAATTCGAATCATGGTGCTACACCGGCCGAAAATAGGCCACCTGCATGAAATGTAAGCTAACATTTGTTTTGTTTGGTCTCCCTTAAGTCGGTAATTTATTTTGATATTGCATTGATTGTATTGTATTTATTATAGTAACGTGCGAGCTGTTTATAATGGATGATTTTGAAAAATTAAAGTCCAAAAGAGCAGTAATCAGACAGCTGATTACAAAATTAATAAATAAAATTGATAAATCGTTATTAGAAACACTTCCTGATTATCCTGATTTGTATGATTATCTAAATCAGTTAAATGAAAAAAACGAAACTTTAAAGGCTCTTGATTTAAAAATTGAAAATTATTTTGATAAGAGCGAGGAATTAGAGAGTGAAATCATACAAAGTCAAGAGTATCAAGATCGAGTAGTGGCTTATAAAGGCAAAATTGAAAGATATTTACTGAAATGCCAGACTACAAGACAGGAAGTAACGATTAATAGTGGTAACAATAATTTACAAGAAAATATAACTTAT